TCCTTATTAGCTTTATTTAGACTTTTCCTTACTATCTCTAAATATAGAAGTAGTTCCCTAAAGTAATTAGTTTTAATAATACCTATAATACTAATTACTTTATACTTCTACTTTTTTAGGCTACTAGGTAGACCTACCTTAAATCTATTTATAACGTTATATTTAGCCTTATTAATAATAAAAAGCTAAAGGGCTTTTAGTTTCTTTTAGCTAGTATTTACTAACTTATAGACTAAAACTTAGTTTATTATCTTACTATTATAATTATAGACTATAATAAGTAAATAAAAGCTATACTAAATAAGTAGTTTCTTGAAGTCTAGTAATAGCTTTATATTTACTATATTAACTTTAATATTATACTTAAGGCTAAGTAGAAGTAGCTTAAAGACTATAGTTATAGTAGTAATAGTAGTATATTAAATAATAAGGCCTATTAGCTATAAATATAAGTAATAGCCTAGCTTAGTAATAAGGACTAGGCCTAGATTAATACGCTAGTAAATAAGGCCCCCCCTTATATATATTATAAGGTGTTAATAATATAGAAGCTTAGTATTTTTACTAAGACTAAGTAAGCCTTTAAGAAAGCCTAGGCTAAACTCTATAAAGAGTTTATTATTTAATACCTTATTCTTTAGTACCTTTATATAATATACTTACCCTTAAGAGTATAATAAGCTTACTACTTTATCTAAAAATACTAGAACTTTAGTGTTTATATTACCTTTAGTATAAAGTTAAGTAATAATAATATTAAGGGCTATCTTTTAAATAGTCTTAGTTACTTATATTAACTTAATACTATTATATAAGATATAATTAGTAATTAGGAGTTATACTTTAAGTAAGCTTATACTAAAAATAAAGTCCTTAAAAGCTAAAAGTATATAAGGACTTACCTTAAGCTTTTTAGTAAACTTTATATACTACTTTTTTTAAAGTGTTTAGTGTTAATTAGAAAGTAATACTAGCTAGTAAAAAAGGTAATACCTTTTAGTAAAAGGCTATTCTTAGCCCTTATATAAGAATATAATTTAAACTATATAGTTTTAATTAAGCTTAGTATCTTATACTACTATAAGATCTTTACTAAGATACTTAATTTAGTAACTTTTAGTAAATAAAAGGTATACCCTTAGTAGTGTCTTTAAGAGATATCCTTTTTTAATTTATACTACTAGATTCTTAACCTAAAGATTATAGTATCCCTTTATAGTAAGCTAAAGAATATAGTGTAACTTATCTTATTATAACTAGCCTTACTTTAAGAGGGCTAGTTAGCTAGCTAAACCTATACTTAGAATTATAGCTAAGGTATTAGTAGTAAGAAGTAAGGCTACCTACTTAGAAGTAAGAATAAGTCTATATAAAAAGTAAGTTAATTAAGTTAAAGCTAGATTTTAACCTCCTCTTAGTAATAAATAAGAAGCTAGTTAAGTGTTCTTAGTAAAAAAAGGACTATAAGGACTTATATAAATAGATAGCTATTATAGTCTAGTATTTAAAGGATATAAAGTTAGTAAGAAATAGTTAGTAGTAATAATAAATCCTTATAACTACGTTATAAAAAAGTAGCTAAATAGTAAACACTTTTAATTATATAGCCCTATTTAAGATTTATAAGAAGAAGTAATAGGTAATATACTTTTATAAAACTTAAATAAGAAAAGAGGCGCTTTTTATAGCTATAAGAAATAGGCTCTATAGGAGGTAATCTTTATAGCTATAAAGAGGAGCCCCTTATAGAGCCTATTTCTTATAGCTATATAGGCTAATTAAATAATAGTGTGTTAGAATAGTAGAAGTGTTAGTAAACTTATTTTTACTACCTTTATAGGGATATATTAATTTTCTAAGCTAATTAAGAAGATAGAAAACGACGCCTCTATAAGGGCGACGCCCCTATATTAATTTATAACGCCCCTTTATTAATTCCTACTATTATAATCCTTATAATTTAATATAAGTAGCCTAGAGTAAAGTGTTAGCCTAATACTATATATTAGACTATTAATTAATAAAATATATATAAAAGTAAAGACACCCCCTTTTCCTTATAACTTTAGTAACTACTATATACTATAGCTACTTTAAAAGAATCTCTTTAAGAAATAACTAGTGTATTTATAGCTATAGTAAGGTAGTAAAAGTTCTGCTAAATCCCTAGTTTTACACTAAAACTTATAGTTTTTAGACTTTAATTCTACACTATATAAGTAAAAAGAAAGATATAATATAATATATATTAACTATTTAGAGCTACTTTATTATATATAAGTTAGTTAAAATATTTACTTATTAATAGTTTTATAGATAGAAATACTTTATTAAAATCTTAATTTTTTTAAACTTATAAGCTACTTTTACTACTATTTTGCTAATAAGTATATACTTAAAAGTTATAAAGTACTTATTAAGTATTAAAAGTCTTATATAAACTTATTATAAGCTTTATTATTCTATTTATACTAGAAATAATATTTATAGCTTATAGGTACTAACTTAATATACTATATATAGAACAATAAGTTAGAAATTTTAGACTAAGACCTATATATATATTAAAGCTTACTTTAAACTATATAAACATAATCTCTTAGCTTAAATGTAATAGTAGTTAGTTATTAATAAGCTTGTAAACTTAGTAAGTTTTGGTGTAAAACTAGGGATTCGGCGGAACTTTTGCTTACCCACTGTAATTGCCTCACCCTGCGCCTGGGCGCATGCGGCTATTTTGCCTACTTTAACACCTAGTTAATTTACAGTAACTTCGCTGTATTTAAAACCAGCACAAGGCAAAGGGTAAGGAAAGGAATCTAAACACTTGGTGTCGCGATGCCCTTATTAGCATCGCCAAGCCGCATGCAGGATTTATATCAGGCCGGAAGGGCTGATAATCCGGTCTCCTGGCCCCTCGCGGCCGGCCTCACCCGTAGATGGATACTTCTACAGAGTGGCAGGGGTAGGTTTTTTCCCCCTATGATGTTATCACCCATAGCTGACATTATGATAGAGGGGCAATATTCACCAAAAGTAAAGTTCTGTAGTAGGGGGGTGAGCATTAGTCACCTAACAGGGGGAAAAAACTTCGGCCGGATACCATTGTATACAAGGAACACTCTGCGACAGTCTCCAAACACCTGGGAAATCCGTCGCCGACCCCTTCGGTCGCACCTACATCTACACCCACACACACACGTGAGAAGATAACTGCACCACGGTCGCTCGTCTGTCAACAAACCGACAACAACGTGTTCCTTGTCCTTCATCTTCGTCAATTGCCAGCCAAGCATGTCGCCACCAGACACGCAAACAACCAATCTCCTATGTCATCCGCGCTTCGACTGCTCTCCTCGTTTGAACCCAAGCATTGTACGCCTATCTCTCTAGGTACAAGCGCCTGATCTGCTTGATGTGCTTATCGGCCTCAATTGAATATTGTTTTTTAAATAAAAATCGTTCTCACTGTTGCTGTTGCCTCTGTGCATATCCCTTTGTTAGATCGTCTGTACGCATGTATCCGTAATCTTACAGTAATACTATAAATAAATTCAAGTGGATGACTATGAGTTGGATAAGGGGCGGGAATCCCCCATCCGTCAAGTTGGCCGGCTTTCTTCAACAATGCATGACTCGTCTGCCGTGTTCGCGTTCAGCCCAGCCCAGTAGCTCCCTCCCTCCCGACCCACCCAGTATTTCTTACATGGGTATCTATGATACGGTTACTCGTACGTATCAACAGGTCAAAGTGACGAGTAACTGGGCTAACTTGGTTCAATTAGGTATACGTAAAGAAATATAAGTGATACCAACTGCTATCTGCGGTGGATACTGCAAATAATCATCAGACCTTTTGTTCCCATGATCAGATGGATCCGCGATGATCTCCATCGCAACACTATTGTCGAGGGTATTAGTATCCATCTGTCCGGACCCTGCGGTCGACAACTGCATCGCGGGGACCCACCTGCTCCTAGCAGTACCTAGACAGCATGAATAGGGGCCATACGTATTAAATCAAACAGTCCGTAATGATAACAATGCTGCTTGTAGAGTATAAATCACAGATAGTATATAGTCTACACTCTTACCTTGGATTTGATTGGCCTTGGCTTGTGATGATGGTTCATACCAGCTCAAACTGATTACATCTGGCGCCTCATTAATGCAATCGCTATGGAGTACAGAAATCGCATTCCCGTTTTCCTCGCCATGTTTTCCGTGCTGTCTTGCACTGCATTCATCCCGTGTCTGGTAGCAGCTCAGAACTCTGCCCCACGACTGACGCAACGCGCTCCTTTCGATAATATGTACTATGTAGCCAAGGGCGAGTGGGTCTGCAGTAAGAAGCAGCTTCGAGAAATTGGTAACACCGTTGCCGAGACGGTTAAATACGCTCGCCAGGCTATCGATGTTCTTCAAGTCCCGGGGGCCGAAGACTCAGAAGCATACCAAACATGGTTTGGGCCTTGTACGTTGCCACAATGGACAAAGTAGATGACGGCCCATTAGTGCTGACTTTCCATGTTCAATGTAGCGAACGCCAACACCCACGCGAAGACGAGAATCATAGATCATCACTACCGTATTGCCTTCGAGAACCTGGGGCAGCCGTCAATACCGGTAACTTTGAATTTAGGCGGCATACAGCAATTCCAAGTAGCAGGCCACGTGCCGCCTGTAACAGCGGGTTCTATGGTCTACGCTTGTCCTGAAAAGAAGGAGATGATGGTATGCAAAAGCGCTACAGCTGCTGTCGTTGGCCCAGCGCCAAACGCGAAAAGTCCTCTGGGTACCACGATGATTTACTTTTGTCCTGAATTCTTTAGCTCAAGGAGAATCTCCGAAACCGAGATGAAGAAGCAGTGGGGACAAACATCAAGTGGCCAGATGTCTCGCGGCATGATTCTGCTCCACGAGCTTCAGCATATGGCAACTGCTACAACAAATAGCGAGCATTGTTCAGACTATGCCTATGAGCCAGAACTGTACGATCATTTGACGCTATAAAAAAGTTACGCTGATGAACTAACATTATTGCTACAGGTGTAAATCTCTAGGGGATGGTCGCAAGATACGGAATGCCCAAAACTACGCTTTATTCGCTCTCGACGTCTCAGTTAATCCTAATAAGGGAAAGCCTGGCTCTAAGTAGTGGGTAGATAAAAGAGGTAAAGCTATAGCTATGTTATCTGCAGCTTATGAAGAAAGATGCGGCGGCAATGGAAAGGTGTTATGATGATGTCGCAAAAACGACGCCGTTAATCGCCAGCAGCAATTAACGCCTAAAATGTCTGTTGATATCACAAGGGATCGTAATCATAAAGCAGTAATAGTGTTAGTTTAACTATTAGTTACTTATAAGGATAATAATAAAAACAAGAAGAAGTTATTACTATAAATATTTATAGTAGTATAAGTAAGCTATTAAGGTAAGTTATGTAACTTTAAATAAGCTTTACCTTTAGCTAGTTAAATATCTTAATACTAGTAACTTTTCAAAGTAAAAAGAATCTACCTTAAATAGCCTAGATAACTACTTGGTGGTTGAAAAGCCTAAAAACATAATAAGATTAAATGCCTAAAAGTATTTGATACTTTTTGTTTATATAATTAATTATGTAGTCCTTAAAACTTATTCTTTTATACTAATTTAAAGTATCTTATTTCTAACTAGTTATTTAGTACCTTATTTAGTAGTAACTTTATAGATTTATTAGTAAGAATATTATTATATTATATTTATTATACTTCATAGACTTTATATCTTTTATATAATTACTAAAGAGTTATAATATTAATTATAAGCCTTTTTGTTTATAATACTAAGCTTTACTAAGTACTTATAAAGAAAGTAAGAATTATTATAAAGAATAGTTAGAATATATAGTAACTTAAGGTAGTTAGTAACTATTATAATAGTAGTACTTAGTATATAAGTAATATTAGTACTAGTAACTATACTATAGATCTTAAAGATTAATATACTTTAAGTAACTTACTTATACTTTATTAAGCTAAAGTAAATAATATTATAAGTTATAGTAAATTTATTACTTATAGCTATAATATACTTATATAGTAAGCTATATATTATAGTAAGCTATATACTTCTTCTTCTTTTTTAACTTTTCTTATAAGTTAATTAAGCTATAATATATAAAATTAATTAAAACTACTTATTACTATCTTCTTTATTACTATCCTAAGCTACCTTATAGGTTTATATATTATATCTAGTCTTTTTATTATTACTATACTATTATATATATAGCTTACTACCCTCTATATAACCCTCTTTTTAAGATATTTTCTTACCTCTAGCTTTAACACCCTCTACTTCTCCTTATAGCGCCTCTACTTTAGCTATATTAAGTAACTTTTTAAGATATAGTCAGGTCTTTTTAGCCCTTTAGTACTTACTTAGTATATTTATCCCTATATAAAGTCTAAGGTTTTTAGCCTTAATAAAAATAAGCCTATATACTAACTTACTAATACCTTTAGCGTAAAGGTTAATTACTTTATCTATTAGTATTAGTAAGGTTTTTTAATATCTCTAGATCTTTTTTTTTTAGTAAACTAGTACTTTATATACCTTTTAGTACTATAGTTAGTGTCTTTAGGTCTTATAAGCCTAAGCTAGTTAAATATAAGCTAGTAGGTGTTAGTATATTTAGCTTAAAATCTAAGTAAGAAATAACTACTTTAAGTTTAAAAGGTATAAGGCTAGTCTATTTAAAGCTAGCTTATATATTTCTTTTTTTTATTAAAGTAAAAAACACTACTTTAAAAGTAAAAAAAAGTTATTTTTTATAATATATAAAATCTATATTTATATTATTTTCTTAATTTCCTTATTATATAAAAGCTTTAATAGACTAAAAAAACTTATATTAAGAGGCTAAAGCTTATATAATAAATAAAAAAGTATATAGAAAGTAATAATTTTTTATTTATTATAGAAATTATTAAATTTAGTTAATTTAAAGCTATTATAGCTATTAAGGATTAAAAGTTAATAAGTACTTTTTATATAAGACTTTATATACTAGTTAAAATAATTTAACTAATTTAGGCTAATCTTATTTATTATCTATTTATTTTTACTTAAGTAAATATACTGTTTAGCTAGGAATTAGCTATTTTAGTATTTAGAGAAGAGGTAATATTTACTTTTTATAATAATATATAAAGGTATTACCTAGCTATCTATATATATACCCTAAATAATAAAAACCTATTCTTAATTACTAGGCTACTTTATATAAAGCCTTTTTTTAGAATTAGATGTTATAATAACTTTAATATAATAGTATTCCTATTAAGAACCTAGTCTTATTAAAATTATAAGTATTATAATCTTATATCTTATACTTTATAATTATATTTTATATAAGTATATACTAGCCTTATATAATTATAAGATCTTTAGCTAAGCCCTTTTAGTAGTTAATTTAATATTAAAATTATATTTTTAATTAGGGCTATTATTATATAAAGTTCTCTACCTATTAGGGTCTAATATATATTATGTTATATTTATTTAGAAGTTAGTTAGCTATATCTTATACGTCTTCTTATTATAAAAGAAACCCTTAATTAATTAGGTTAATAACTCTTTAAGAATTACCTCCTCTTTTACTTTTATTATCTTTTTTAAATTTAGACGTATTTTATCTTATAGAAGTATACTAATACGTTATATATAAAGGGTTAATTTAGGGACCTTAAAGGTAGTAGCTACTTTTTATATAAATATCTTTACGTCTTTTTTAATAGCTAAAAAGGTAAAAATAATTTAGCTTTCTTTAGAAGAAGAGTTTATATTTATACGTAAAGGAAAGTAGGTATAAAGGTTAAAAAAGTAGAAAGGTTATAAATATATATAGCTTACTATAATATATAGCTTACTATATAGGTATATTATATAAAATTAAATAAAACTATCTTTTACTATTCTTTTTATTACTATTTTAAACTACTTTATAGCTTTATATATTATATTTAGTTTTTTCTAATTACTATATTATTATATATATAGTTTACTACTTTTTATATAAGCCTCTTTTAAAGATATTCTCTTACCTCTTACTTTAACACTTTTCCTTTTCTTATAATACCTTTACTTTAGTTATATTAAGTAACTTTTTAAGATATAGTTAGGTCTTTTTAGCCCTTTAGTACTTACTTAGTATATTTACTTTTATATAAAGTCTAAGGTTCTTAGCTTTTATAAAAGTAAGGTTATATACTAACTTACTAATACTTTTAGTTTAAAAGTTAATTACTTTATATATTAAGGTTAGTAAGCTTTATTAATATCCTTAGATTTTCTTTTTTAGTAAACTAGTACTTTATATACTTTTTAGTACTATAGTTAGTATTTTTAGGTCTTATAAGCCTAAGCTAGTTAAATATAAGCTAGGAATTATTAGTATATTTAGCTTAAAATCTAGGTAAGAAATAACTACTTTAAGGTTAAAAGGTATAAGACTAGCCTGTTTAAAGCTAGCTTATATATTCTTTTCCTTTATTAAAAGAAAAAATACAACTTTAAAAGTAAAAGTAAAGTTACTTTTTATAATATATAAAATTTATATTTATATTATCTTTTTAATTTCTTTACTATATAAAAGCTTTCATAAGCTAAATTAACTAATATTAAGAAACTAAAGCTTATATAATAAATAAAGATGTATATATAAAGTAATAGTTCTTTATTTCTTATAAGGATTATTAAATTTAGTTAGTTATAGTTATTATAACTATTAAGAATTAAAAGTAAATAAGTACTTTTTATATAAGACTTTATATACTAATTAAAATAGTTTAACTAATATAAGCTAATCTTATTTATTATTTATTTATTTTTACTTAAGTAAATATATTATTTAGCTAGAAACTAGCTATTATAGTACTAATAGAAAAAGTAATATTTACTTTTTATAATAATATATAAAGATATTACCTAGCTATTTATATATATACCTTAAATAATAAAAACCTATTCTTAATTCCTAAGCTACTTTATATAAGGCTTTTCTTTATAATAAGAGGTTATAATAACTTTTATATATAATAGTATTTTTATTAAGAACTTAGTCTTATTAAAATTATAAATATTATTATTCTATATTTTATATCTTATAACTATATCTTATATAAGTATAAACTAGCCTTATATAATTATAAAATCTTTAGCTAAGGCCTTTTAATAGTTAATCTAACATTAAAAATATATTTTAAATTAAGGTTATTTTTATATAAAGTTCTTAACTTATTAAGGTATAATATATATTATATTATATTTATTTAAAAGTTAGTTAGCTATATCTTATATATTATCTTATTATAAAGAGAACCCTTAATTAATTAGGTTAATAACCTTCTTAAGACTTACCTTCTTTTTTCCTTTTATTATCTTCTTTAAATTTAGATATATTCTATTTTAGATAATATATCCTCTATCTTAGTAATAAAGTATTATATAAGGAACCTTAAAGACAGTAGCTGCTTTCTATATAGACATTTTTAGGTCTTTTTAGATAGCTTAGAAGGCAAGGATAATACGGTTTTTAATTTAAGAGGATTATATGTTTATATATAGAGAAAGGTTAGTAAAAAGATTAAAGAGGTATAAAGGAGGGAAAGTAGTCTACTTAATATAATTATCTACTTATTATATAGGTATATTATATATAATAAGCCTAACTATTAGTCTATAAGGTACTTAAAAGATAAAAAGTAATAGGCCTACTATAAGTATAAAGAGTAGTATTTAATAGACTTTTTACTTAAGGCCTTTAACTACTTTATAACTAACTTTAAAAGATATAAGCTATTTACTTTAAATAAGGAAAGTAACTATATAAAGAGTAATAAAGATAAAGAATTAGGCACTATATTTTATATATTAATAACGTTTTTTAATTTACTTATTATTAATAGGCTTACTTTCTTTTTATTACTATCTAACTAATTTATAACCTATTTTTCTATAAAAGATCACTCCTTATATAAGGATTTATAAAATAAAAAGCTACCTAATATAGATGTCTTTACTTTTAATAAGTAATATTTATTTATCTTATTCTAAGGTATTATACCTAACTTTAGTATAGCTAAATATTTAATACCTAGATATAAGTAGTATCTTACTTTTTACTAATATATAAATAGGAATCTAGTTATAAATAAGTTATAAGTAAGTAAAGTAAAAATCTACTTTAGTAGTAGTAACTACTTTAAATTATAAGAGCTACTTAAGATACTAACCCCTTTTAGTATCCTAATGTTAAATATAGTAGAATAACACGTAAATTAGCTAGTAAATATATAGTTGCCCTATAGCAAATCTTTAAGGAATAGGTAGTAAATTAGCCCTACTATTAGGGGTACCTTTACTAATAATATTACTAGCATTAGCCTAGGATTTCCTAACTAAGAAATAGAAGGTTTTCCTTAGAGATGTGTGGTTGACTACGACCGAGAACCTGCGATGTTAACGACTCTGAAGAGAACTGGTTGATAGGTTGCTAAGTTCTAAGATCGTTGCTGGTAACGACAGATCACGAGATGTTGCGGGCGATAATGATGACGGCCTGACTGGGCCATAGAGGAAGAGCTTGACTACTTGGCTATTGTTGCTGTCTTTTGTTTGTGTGGCGAGTTACCTGAGGTGTGTCACTTTCTCTCAATTACTGGTCAGCGAAGCTGGTCGGCGGTTCTTGAGAGGATGCTTCGACAGCAGACTGCCAAGCTGCTTTCTCTCTAACTGTTCATCCTGTTCAGGAATCCAGCGTCAGCCTCCGAAGTAGCAGCTTGCCCGTGACAGTTTGCTATTGGGACTGTTCTGTATATATAACAGGTCCATGTTGAGACTTGGCGGGACGTAGAATGTCCTCTGAAGTTAGCATCTTGGTTGCACCCTCCATGCACTTGCAACGACCCTTGCCTGCGGTGCCTAAAGACTAAAAGTATTCTAGAACTAACACAGGAGCCCTATAATGCTTCCTCCGAGTACTTCCACACATATATGGCCAATTCCATCCAGGAAGCACTCCCATGCAACACGCTGGTGCCAAATCTTCGTCGACATTCACATTAGTCTTTGACCCCTGAATGGAGATAGAAGCTCGGTGACGAAGCTCCTTCTTCCATAGCCTCACTTTAGCGGCATTAATGACTGGAAAGACAGCTTTTTCGGGTGGCTGGATTCTGTATTGATAGCTACATCTAGGAAAGGCACCTACATGCTTCGTGTAGAACCTCAGAACGGCCCAAGAGCAAGGCAGAAGCTTCACAACGACCCCGGGGTTCTGACCAAGAGCATCAATACCCAGCCAGGAGGCTCACAGGAGCATGAAAAAGGGGATAAGGAGGCCCGTTTCGTCCCGAGTAAGCTGCTGGTGAAGTTTCTCTTGGGGAATAGCACCTTAGAAATGATAGACTAAATGCAGCCATGCCGCATCATCAATTGTTTTCTCTTGATTCGCACCAACTTGAGCGGAGGAAGATTAGGTAAATTGCTACACATTCTCGTAGGAATACCCTCAAAAGGGAGAGGCACTACCAACTCATTTGAAATGTCCCTCCGCGTGCCGCTCCAAATTGTTGCTTGCAGGGAGTGAACATGGCACGGCCTTTGGCATCTGGCTCTGGACCACTGCTACCGATGCCTACTGGGATCTTGCCTGGCAACCGAGCCCAGTGTAGACAAATCAGTACTCTCAAGGCAATACTTCAAGTGAAGATGCCAATGGACAAGCGGACAAGCCCAACTTGGTGCAGGGCACAGTATCTCAAGTAGGTCCATTCTGTCAAGACTTCTCGGCACAGAGTCAGATCTGGCCGCCTTTCGTTCACGTTCAACAACGGTAACCAGCCCGGCTGTATTCAGCTGGGGTATGTTATTCGAAAAATTGCTCAGTGCTGCGTTATTCGATGACCGAAGTGATTGATCTCTGGTTGCTGGAAAGGCACCGCTCACTAGCTGCCCTATCTAGGTCCAATCAAGAGGGAACAAGACCGAAAACTACTGGAGACACCGTGGCGCCCTGAAGTCGCAATGCCATCTTGCCCAATTACCAAGTCATGATATTTAAGGGCACTCCATTCCCTCCCTCCAATGCATTGCCAAGATCTGGCTGGTTTGTCGTTGGAGGCAAAATAGTCCTTGAGGAAGACCAACTTAAGACGTCGCCTTCACATCCACAAGTCCAATTCCACATGGCATCAGGCTTCTTGCAACCCATACAACACCATAAAGCTCAATTCCTGCCACCGTCACGGTAGGGGGGCCAAATCCAGATGATTATCCATCCTGAACCTAACCTTGACAGATTCAATAACCAAGTCCGCGAAGGTTAGTGTTTATTTTTGGTTAGACAAGAAATCAGCGTAATTGTTTGCTTGCTAAGCTTCTATGCTGCAGCAAGTCTTTAATCCCCCCTTGGTTAACTAGCTAGACGTCTATATCTTGAATGCGGTGTTATCTTTGTTCCTGGGTGACGAGGGCATTGGAGCCGGAGGGTTTTGAAGGCACGAATGCGTCTCCTTTTGCATTACGAATCCTAAGCATCACAGCAATAAGCCCAAGGGGTGGCTTTTTCGGGGAAACACGCAAGCACACATGTATGATGCGTCAATACTATCAATGGCATGCATGCCTGATCTCGGGGAGCTGCTATATATGAACCCCTAAGCCGATAGTTCTTCACAGGGCTGGCGGCGCAATAGTAGCATGGTAAACTTGCGATTAAGTTTACGGGGCCGGGACTGATCAGAAAGATAATCAGGTGCGATTCGGCTGGCTGACATGTACCTCCTGGATAGTACCCAGTCATATCGTCATTCAACCCTACGGACACCGAGATCGTGCCGTCAAGGCTGTCGTGAGCCGCGAATTGTCATTGCGGCAATTGAGGGTCGTTGAGGTGGGAGGATGCGCGGTCGGTTCTTGGAGAGCGCCATGAGGTACCTTTGCTTCGGAGTACATACGGCATGTGCATGTACCCATGACGTAATGCAGTGAGTGAGTGCAGTCAGCAGAGACGTGGACCGACCTGCACATTTTAGCACCACCAATCAGCAGAGATCCGACTGCCTATTTCGGCAATTCGTCTTGGTATGAATGAAGCACATGCCGTTGATGATGCTCTGAAGGGAAGGAATGGTTATGAGCCCTGTATTGAAACCCGGGCGGTTGGAAACCACTTCTTGCTGGCTGCATTGAACTCGCTCGGATTTAAAATCTGAAGGAGGAAGCTTCTGTTTTCTGCCTTCCTTTCCTGTCCTAGGTAGAGGAGTGCTAGCGGAGTACGGACAGACACTGTGTGCGTTAGTGGATAGGATGGTGCAGCGTCACTGTGCGGGGTTGCGAGCACACGGCTTTGGACGAGGAAGGAAGAGACTCTGAGAGAAGGCATGTAAGGAAGGAAGGTCCTTTGAATCCATTTCGCCGGCGCACCATTACATCTTTTCGAACTTGGGCAAGACTTTTCTTTATTTCGTCTTTCGTCCTTGAGGTGCAACCGAAGAGGCCTGCCTACTTGCTTTGACAGTTGATAATCTTCTCCTCCTTTCTGTCTTGTGTCTCTCTGTCCGTGCTAGTCTCTGCAGAGCTCCTCTCGCGCCGTCGTCTGCCACCCTAAGTAACCCTGCCTTCGCTGATCAGCGCTCTTTTGCCCACTATGGCCGACCAAGGACCCCTTCCCCCGCCCGTAGGTGTCTTTTCCTTGATATCCATCTTATATCACAGCACCTATCTAGCTTCATGAATGACAGCTACATCCTCAGATATGAATCAGGTCCAAATAGCTCATCCTCATCAACTCCGTGGCTTGGAAATGAGTAATTGGACACTAACACGCTTTAGAACTTCATAGATACCTTTCCGTATCGACCGACACCTACGACGGCAAATGTGCGGCACTATGTCCAGAACACCGTGATCCCAACACACGATGCGCAGCCGGTCGACCCGTCGCGAGCTTCGGCCCACCTGCTCAGCAATCTCCAAGCTGAGCATCGACTTCCGACGTCATTCGCGCCACCAGAGCCAGCTTCTTCGATCCACCACCGCCACCTCCTTTGCCACCACCTCCCCCTTCGCTGCTCCTGTGCCTTTCGCTCAAGAATTGGCTGACCGACTGAACCAGCGTCGCCAAGCCCTGGATAGGGCTCCTGTCGGACCACCTCGCCCTCCTCCATTGCCGCCAGCCCCTATCCCAGCAGGCCCGGCTCCTTTCGCCGCCCAGCTCGCCGCCCGCCTGGAGGATATCCGCCGCCGTCGCCAATTAGATAATGAGTCGTCGGATGTAAGCGAGCCTGAGCAGGAACTCCACAGCAGGTCTCCTCCTTTCCCCAGCATGAACGACTTGGACGATCTCGACCGGGGCAGTGACTCACCCCCCGCACAGTCGCCCGATTACATCCCTCTCCCCAACGATGACGCCTTCCGCTTCAGTTCCCCTTCCCCTACCTCCCGTGATCCTCCAAACGACGACGAACGAAACCGTCCCGACGAGCTTGGCCTTTCTGGCTCCGACCTCGAAGAGGTGGCGGTTTCCCTGGCCCGACGTCGGGCCTGCCCCCGGCCATACGCTTCTGTAGATATCGCAGTCGACCAAGTCTCCCGTGGTGCCGCCTCCTCCACTTCCAGACGTCTCTACCGCGCCGCCAACTTCTTCACTCCCTCCCAGAGGGCTGCCGCCACCCGGGAAGCTGGACGGGCCACCAGAGCCATTTTGGAGCGCTTTGCCGACGGAAATGCCGTCGCCGCCGCCGCCGTCGAAATCAGCGAGGGTTCTCCAATGGACAGCGGGCGCTAGAGCGGGAGCGACAGTGAGGATGAACTGGCGTGAAAGCCCGTCAGAGGACTTGGTCGTTGTTGTAGAAGAACCCTGTGACGTACTTTTGCCGGTTCTTCTGCTGCTCTGTGTCTTTCGTAATTCCTATCAGGTGTTTTCTCATGTCTCGGGTGTGCCTGGTCATGATGGCGCAATTTTTGTTGTTTTATTTGCTTCCTAAATGATGTATCGTTTATCTAGCGGGCTAGCTTCGACTGGTCGCATCTCCTTGCTTGCTAGCCAAGGAGCCGCCTACGCAACCTCATTGCTTGAGCCAGGATTTCACAAATAGAATAAAAGAAAATGACCCAAGTGTTCACGTCTCGTTGAGCGTGCGATAAGAGATGAAGCCGGCTGATATGATGTCTCAGTAGCTCGTTTGAAGCTATCAGGCCGTGATTCTTGATAAAGGACGGCTTTAATTTAATAATAAAAGGGTAAAGAAAGGTGACCTAAATCTCATCTCAGAAGTTCAAAGATGAACGACAGTAATTCATTCATACGTTGAAGACTTCAAGCGCTCACCCTCAAGAACCCAAATTGATCTCAAGACCCTGGGGATTCGAATGACTTGTTCAAAGTTGAAAATCTTTTTCGGATCCATTTCTCCCCTACTGTGAAACCTCCTAGATAGACTATGAACCCTTTCCAAAGTCTCCGGTCACTCATCGCGCAACCCAAGCCAAGACAGCAACAAAACCGAAGGAAATCCTTCAATGGCATTTGGGACCAGCTGCTGAAGAGCACGTTAAACCAAATTGAACGAAGGCTTCAAAGGCCATTCATGCGTTTCTCCTGCTGTGTACCCTTTTGCTGAAGGGACCATGACACTGAAATATCTCCTCCGATGGGCATTACGAACAGCTGCTAAATAGTATGTCATCCAAATTAAACCAAGCCAAAAGATCACACTCCCCGCACTCCTCCTCCTGTTTGACGCCTTGATGAGAAGACTGCGAAAACGAAGTGCCGCCCTCCATCTTTTGCCTTGAAACTGTGATCCGGAGCCAGCTGATTATTAACCTCAGAGAGCATTTGACCTTCAAAGCATGCTTTCCTTTTCTTCTCTTCACCTTTTGACTACAAGGTATGCACTGGCTTGCGGCGACCAAGTGCTCATAGCGACGTCGCTCTTCGATGCCTTCAGGTACAGCAGTTCACCGCCTGCAGCCACACCTTGTCGACTCGCATACAACGGCAAGGAGTCCTCGCCAAGTCTCCTCCGATTCGGATCAAGATTGGAGCAATCGAAGAGATCAAACTGCCGTTCTTCGAGACGCCGCCCGCAGCGCCCCCGCCACACAAACATTTCCACCACGCTCCGCGAACTCGGCAGGCCCCGACTGAAGCAAGTGCACATCTTGTTGAACTCCTAATACCGTAGCCTGTAGGCCTATGCCGAGTTTGCCGCCGGATTCTCGGCAGCTAGACGATTCCTTTCCTGACGAAGTCGTTTGGCTGCTTCCCTCTCGTTTAGCGTGTCGATAATTGCGCCGATGCCCATGAGGCTGGATACGAGACGCGTCGCCTCCTTCGTTCTGTCGACGAGGACCCCGACGTCCCCTTCGCCTAGGTCAGCATCGAAAACCAAAGATCTGCCGTCCGTAGCCATGTCCGGCATCAGGACGAAAGTCGCGTAGTGCAGGGTGTACAAACCGTACTCGTCAGGCCAATCGTGGAAGAGCGAGGTGAAGAGGCGTCACAGAGACAGTAGGCGAGTCGGCGAGCCCGCGTGTCTGTTCGACGAGGGGAAGATGCAGCGTAACTGGACCTCGGAATCGACAGGCAGGGTCGGGCAGCGCTCCAGAATCCAACGGATCATATGATCCTGGCCGATAAGGGCGGCGGCATGCAGTGGTGTCGCAAAAGTGGGAACAGGGAAGTCGGTAGAGGTCGTAACATGGTGGCCGGAGACCAGTGCCATGGCACGAGAAGGCGGATGCCGAGAAAGAATTTCTTCAGGTGTGATGGTACTTGAGAAAGTGGGCTTTGAAGGATCTCGAGGCGGCCTGACACGACCGCCTCCATAAGAAAACTTTCGCGATAGCGCGCGGTGGGGCTGATGGACGCAAGGCGCGCTAGGATCAGCATGGTAGACGCAGGGTGGGAGGGGGTTAAGGTGATATGTAAGTCACCTACCCAGTCGGATCAGGACTCAGCCATGGATCACGGTATCGTTTCATCGTGTGCAGAAGGTGGTCCTGGGCTGAGATTAGTGAGGTATTTACCTCAGTATTTGCAGCGACGTCGATGACGAGGGATTGACTGTAGAGCAGGGGATTGGCGATATCGCGCCAACGTCGGCAGGTAGCAGCCAGCCGGGCCATGTCGGCCAGGCCAGTCGACTGACGAGACTCTTGCATCGTGGAAGACGGATGTGTAATGGGCAAGACAGGCGCTATTGCATGTAGAATTTCGGAGAGAAGTTGCGTAAACCCCATGTTGGCGTTCTCCCGACGTTGCCTATTGCGCTGGTCATGCCGCAAGGCGTCAGTTGGTGGATCCAGAGATGATCAAGTGCGAATGCGGCAAACTTTCGGGACCAGTATTAGTGGCACAGGGCACTCACTCGCAATGATTGATACGACTGAGGTAATTAGTTGATGCTGGAAGTATGTATGGGTGGTACGAGGTAAAGTTGAGTTGGTCGGCAGTCAATAATCGAGGTGTGTCCGCAGAGCATAGTTGAATGAAAATGTGGAAGAGGGAAGGAATGAAGCTGAGTTGATTGGAGCATCGATGCAGCTGGCGCCACTTGCCGCCCCCAGTGGAGTGAGTACGCATCTACCTAGCACTGACTTTGCACGACAACGGCTCCACCGACGGCAAAGCTTGCCGAGACGAACGTCGGCCAGGATTGATTGCGACAGAGTGCCGATTCTCCCATGATACCTACCACCAGGGGCTTGTTTCCCGGCTGACTTTTGTGGAAGAAATAGGGGTTGATGGAGTTTTCTAGAACACCCCGGGTCGAATGTCAACGGTGCAGTTTATCATACCTGCTCGCCCGTTGGAGGCGCCGAGTTTCGTGCTGGTGTGATTTTCTGTCCCGAGGCGCAACAGCCTGAGTCGGGAGATGCTCGAGCAGTCGGGTGCAACAGATTCGGCCACTCTCGGAGAGGTAACAAGAGTTGTGCCATAGAGGGCATAGATAGCTGAAGAACGGTGACTCTAACAGTGTTCAGCAGTAGACACCACGACTCAGGTGCCAAGCCTCAGTAGAATAGTAGTCACACAAGCAATAGATAGACCCATAGACTGAATAGGAACCTTATGTGAGAACATGGAGATGACAAGCAATGGGACAACACTTGATACCTAGCTAGTAAGTATGTAGTATTACCTCTCTCTTCTCTTCTTTCCATGTCTTCTTGTCTAATGCTGTACTGTCATGCTAATTATTATTCACCAAGAAAGCAAACGATATGTTATCGATGCTTGAGAACCACCAATCGATCGAATTAGATGCTCAAGTGCAAACCGTAGGCTTGTGTGGCCTGCCCAACCAACTGATAAGAAGAAAAAATGTCCACCTGAGCACCTGAATCATCACAGCAGACACTGAGAGAACTCTTCCGTCCCAACATGCATGCATCACAGCTAAGCCATGTGTACGCGCGTCATCACTCCGACCATGATTGTATCTGTGCAAGACCATCGCGCACAAGCTGCAGTCCCTCCTGCTGCCGCACCAGCACTTCATCCTGTCGCTTGCGCACCGCGCTTGCCTGTAAGGCCCGCATTTCTGCCGTCGCGCTGCCCATGGCACCCTGAAGCGCTTCCTTGGCTCGAGCCAGTTCCTCGTGCACCTCGCCAGATGTTGCCGCACTAGGCCCCGTACCCCGGAGAGCTGATGTCAGTAGGACTGTGGTCGCATTTATGGCTTCGGCAATTTTGGATTGCGAAGCATTGCTGCTATGTTGTGCAATCAGAGTTGCCGACTTCCTTGCGGCTTGCTGGACAGCGTCAAGGAACTCAGTCGCAGCAACTTTCTCGTTGCTCTCCTCCACAGCAGCTTTGGTCTCGTGTACTCTGGCAATTGCCGCGTGGAGCCTTGCTTCACTAACCGCCTCTTTGTGCCTGGTGTACAGTAGCCTGCATCTCGTCTGCTCAAGAACATCGTCCGAGCAGGCGAATGCACTGGCCTGTTTGCTGACCCCAAGCGCCCAGTCAGTCAGAGCAGCGTGCTTGGTAGGGCGGTCATCATCCTCATCTGACGACAAGATCCGTTTACGTTTACGGCCGTGAGTCACGAGGTCCAGAGTCTGGGCTGGCGGGTGTAGACTTGGTCGGGAGTCGGTGGGCGCCATACCTGGTGAGCTAAGTCTGACAAGTGTGCGACGCTGTGCCATGGCTATCAATGACTTTCCGACTCGGGTCGCCTCGAGGCTGAAGGCTTCAGAGTCACTGGAGATTGAAGAGATTGGTCTGACTCCCAGTCGGCCCTTGCGTAGATAAAGACGTGCTCCTCTCTCATGATCGAACGTGTTTTGTAGCGCTTGATGATCGGGCAGCATGGCAAGCAGGCTCTTGCGCTCTTCTTCTTGGTCCATGTGTCTAGGGATGCATTTGCCGCCTATAAGACGTCGAATCACGCCAATGGTGTAGACACCGCAGCTGACTGAGTCGAGCTGTTGTGGGCAGGCCTAGAGAAGCAATTGGTAAGCACAGAATCCTGTTGGGGCGATGGATAGGCTGGGCTGCTTACAGCTTCTACAAACTCAATTGTGCTACCGGGACAAGCTTCTCGCAACAACATGTCAAGTAGTCTTTTTACGCGGACCGAGCGACGGGCGCTGAACAAAGGGTCGAAGTGATTGACAGCAACATGAGATGCCCCTACCAGAACTTGCACGGCGGTCCAGTGCCCACTGTCCCGATGATGAACCGGTGCGTAAATTGTGCACTGCTCAAGCTTCCGGTGAAGAATCTCGGGAAGTTTCAGACCCGTTCCATCAGGCAGCCAGGCGTCGATGGAGAGGAGGAGTGGGTCAATCAGGATGATCTTCTGATGCGCCAGCTCTCCCGCTGATGGCATCGCAGACCAGAGCGTGTACCAAAGGACGTCGTCGTGCAAGCAGACGTTATTGCTCAATTGCTCTTGGATGCGCAGAAACAGGGCGACGCTGGATGGTAAGAGATGAAGACCAGGCGGGCCAACGGCCAAGTCTGTATCCGTGACATCAATGACGTTAATGTCTGGGGTGGGGATTGTGAATTTGATAGGCGCGGGCAAATCTTGGGCGCCGGCGTCGTCTTCAATAATGACAGCATTACTGGGCGTGGCCTCGGGTATGGGGATCTGATTCTCATCCGTCACAGATAGAGAGCCAAGCGACAGATCGGCCACGTTGAACTGGAATTCCCCGCCAAGGTCACTATCGTTGTCTGAGCCCAGGTCTGCAAATCCACCCAAAGCTCCTCTAAAGCCACCGTCATCGTTGTCGTGGTTCCAGAGAGGCGAGGGCGATGATGGCGGGTCCTGCTCGGCAGTGATATGCCGGCACATCTGGGCCGGTAGGTCCTCCATTTCGGAGTCTTCGTTTCTGGAGGCTGCACGCTGTTTCGCCTGGGCGGAGCTGTGGTGCCAGAAAAAATCTCTGTTTGCCAGCTCAGCAGACCTAGCAGTCAGGATAGGAGGATGATTTCCAGACATCAGCTTGGCGGCTTCAAGGAGGTCTCCCCTATCTTCCCAGAGCGATGAAAGTGGAACGCCAAGCTTTATTGCCTTTTGGGTAATAGAACGCAGACTAACAACAATGTTCATACCTGGAATCTCATGCTGCTTGCTTCGGTACCTTGGCGGGAGCCAGGCATCACGGGAGCCCCAGAGGCTGTCAAGCTCTTTGATGCAGTTGACCTTGTGCTTGGAGCGCTTGAGCGCATTTCGTTGTGTCTTGATCTCGATCTCCAGGGTCTTCTGATCGGCTGAGCTCAGATTCTTAACCATCATCTGTGTAGCCATCTGGATCTTGGGTTCCTGCAGGGCGACGCTACGCACAGCATTGTGACGAGCGTTTTCGGGGTACGATAAGAGAGTGTCGGCGACCGAACCGGCAAGCTTCCTAGCATCAAGCGTTTTGTGGTCGACTACAGCCGAGAGGAGGCCCTTTGTCTGGTTTCAAAGACGGGTTAGCAGTGTGGCGCTGATAACACAAGAGAACAAGGGGAAGGGGGTTCGAAGGGGAGATGATTGGAGGGGAGAGGGGAGTGATTATGGGCGAGGGCATTGTTGACAAGACTCACAATAGCCTGGTTGTCGGTCAGGACTCGGCCGACGGGACCTGGACCGGAACCAGGCGTTGCACGAGACATCTTCCGCTGAGCGCTATGACGGGAGCCCAAAGGATGAAGGTTGCGACTGGTTGAACCTGTTGAATCGATGAAATCCAAAACTGCGATCAGATGACGCAGGTAGTCCAGTCGACTGTCTGTTTTGAAAAGAGAGAATCAAGGTGTGAAGAGTAGTGGCGGAATTTAAGGGACCAAGAACAGCAGGCGCAGAGTCCGATGATCACTGATGACTCCGGGTGTGGTCGAAGTGTGGTTGGGGAGGGGGGAAGGTGCGGGGCTCAGAGGAAGGGACATCCCAAAGCTGCCTGCCTGTCTGGCCCACACGGAAAGATCGTGGCAGCTGATAAGTTTAATGGAGTGTTGTTCTGGATACATGTATGTCGCGTGACAAAATTGACAATGGTAGCTATGTCTCTTTGCCCCGGTTGCCAGGTGGGAGGAGTAGGTGCCTCTTGTGGAAAATCCCAGTGGCGCCATAGAACAGGCGAAATGCTGCAATGCACCGTAACGAGAATTCAAAGCATCAGAAGGTTAGAAGTACCCTGCAGCCAACTTGTGGTTTTCCACCAAGCATAGTGCTTCTTCTGACTCCAGCGTGTTTGATTACACGCCACGTATGAGAGCTCCCGCACATATCCCGTGGCATCAATGCTGAAGGTGATACTGTTCTGTGAGACACGTCATCCTCGTTGTATAACGAACCCAAAATCATTTTCAGGGGCACGGGAAACCCAAAACATGTCAGTGGCCGTTGTGTTGATATTTGCTGTTGGGCGCAGTCGTTGTGCTTCGTGTAGCGGCTCGTGGCTCGCCCGCGGTGGTGGCGGTAGTCTCGTTTACTGACACGCCGTGTTATTACGGCTTGCTCTCTCGAAGATTTCGTGGCCAGGCCTACTCTACAGCCACGCGTGGGCCTCTTTGAAAGCAGAATCAATGCCTGGCACTATGCCCATGCTGATCTTCAAAAGATTTCGTTCTCGCAGGTCGAGGTTGCCGAAATCCCGTGGCTAGTGGCTGCAGGACACAGGTCATTAACAACAAGAAGACTAACGAGCAATATGGAAGGGACCAAAGCATGACGGTAGGTAACATATCATTCCTTGACAGGATACGAGGTAGGACAGCAGAAATTACATTGGGAAAGTTAGCTGAAAGACAAAATAATGCAGGAGAACCGCAAGTAGAGGCGACAGAAAGCAGACTCGGAGACTAAGCTGTCAGAACAAATACGGTGCGGTAGAATGATCAATGGCAGAATTGCCAGGTTTGGCAGAATGACTAGAGAGATGACGGGGAGAGTACAGCGCTTAAAGTTAGAAGATTTACCTACTTCATCATCACATCATCATCAGTTCGTTCCTAAGGTAACTAATAACCAGGCGCCGTAATAGTCGCCGCACTCTGCTGCACCATGCTCGGCAATTGGTTCTCTTACGCCTTTCAGTTTCACATTCGGAGTGACGATATTCTGCCGGAGACCTTTGGTATCCAGACAGAAGTTAACTACATGCGAGAGTTGGCTAGCAAAGTACCGCCACATCCTACTACTATACTAATGGCCCTAGCCACCTTGCCGCTGTGGAAAGACGTGATGGTGTGGGGATTGACTTTGCTGAAGACACGCAGCAAAGATACGGTTTCCTTGCTGAAAAACTGCCTCCCGCTGGGCAAGTCAGCCAGTCTCAAAGTCCTGCCGTCGCTTTTCTTCATCCAATTGAACATTATTGCTGACTGACTTTGAGTAGGGGAAGTAGCTGTTGTCCTGCTCTGTGCTGCCTCGTTGGTCTCGTGTCTGTCCCCACTAGAGGGCAATCGTGAGGTGTCTCGACGGTTGAAGACAACTTTCTCGTCAGACGACTCGACAGGGATGCGGTAGCACGGTCGGGTGCGGCAGACGATGTTGGGGTCAGGCTCGATCGAGGGTCATTCGTCGAAGTTGGAACAAATCAGAGTAGTATTATTAGCAAAGAGTATCTGTAGTTCTTGAAGGACAGATTACTCGCATGGCGCTGGTCGAGCTGCCAGTGCCTGTCAAAGTGTGCTTTTGCTGGCTGTTGCAGCGAACTGTTACGCATAGTCGGCTCCATAGGTCATGCCGGTGGGGCATGCCCATCTGACGGGTAAAGGCATCGTAGGCCCCAAGTGCTGTGGTGAATTGAAGGTACGGAGCAAAGGAGAGGATGCCAAAGACAGGCAAAGATATTTCCCAGGTGAGCAGTAAGGAATGTGGCAGGGGGAAGGGTGGTCGCGGAAGATGTACCTTTGCTTGGCTCTTACCCCACAGGACTTGGAGGTGACATGGATAGGCGGGTGGGGGTGGGTGGGTCTCTGCTCTGTACCCCAAGCTTAGGGAGTACCAAAGTGACGCGGTCGCAGTCGCTCGCCCTGCCCACCCACTCCAAGTGGGCAGAGAGGCGCACAGGCAGGCAGTTCAGAGAAAGGCGGAGTGTAAGCTGTGCAAATGACGGATGATGATGATGTGTAAGCTGATTCTACCTGTGTTGTGTTGTATTGTGAAGCGAAAATTAATTAATCCCTTTTGCGAAATGTTTGTAAGTAGGGAAAAGCGGAAAGGTGGCAGAGGGAAGGGTCACTCTGTTGTTCCTAAGGCAAGGTGACATCACCAATGTTGTGGCACAGCTGCACAGCAGGAAAGGCAATAGGGGTGTGCCTAAGTGTGAAGTGTGGTGGAGGAAGGATGGAATTGTGTACCTGACTCTTGCTAGGTGGATCTAACAAAGTACTGGTACAATCGACTTTAAGGCAGACGATGATTTCTGCCTTATGTCGTAAAACGAACTTAAGGCATTAACAATTTAGGCCTTAAAGTGGGACACCGTCCTAAAGAAGCACTAACACATGACATTGAGGTGAGAGATTGGCTGATAAGCTAAGCTTACGCTAGCTTTTTCTTTCTTCTAGGGCACACACACCTGGGCCTAGCCAGCACTTTGTACTAAGAAGAATAGGGCACACTTATCACTAACAACAGAGCAAGCTGGCTATAAAACGATTGAGTACCTACGCAAAATTGAGTCCTGCGAAACAATCAGCTATTAGCAAGCAAGCTGCTTTAAGAAATCCGTCGCAGCGGCGGTAAAAATAAAATAGAGATGCCTCCTCCTGAGCTGTTATACTAAATCCTCGCGAGCTCCACAATCGTCGACATTGCGGCTTTCACACAAGCAAACCGTACAGCATACGCCGTCGCCACGCCGGCGCTTTTCTCTCGCGCTGTACTGCACGACCAGGTTCTGCACGCCAAGCCTGCGACCTGCAACGCGTATTGCCCTGCGGTGGACGAAGAGACGCCTCTCCCGTACACGCTCCGAATCGTCGCGTCTGGTAATCTAGACAATCTCCATCGTCTTGTCACAGCCGGCGCCCATTTAGGGCACTTCAGAGTTCCCTACTGCAACCATCCCATTGAGTACGAAGTGACCTCACACAACCTTAGACCAATAAGACTACAACAATCCATGCTAACTATCTAATAGCTGTCGGTAATCATTTGCAGATACCCACATTTAGGTTATGTGAGGTCACTTCGCACTCAATGGGATAGTAACATCTGGAGCGGCTCCGGCTGTTTGCCTTGGTCAATCACTACGCCTCTCCACGTTGCAGCAGCTGCTGGAGACAGCCATTCCATTCGCTACCTACTATCGCATAACGTTCTGGTTGATGACATGGCCTTTAGAAGCTGTCTATGTCCTTCTTGCTATATAGATAGCCTTACACATCCTGATTGCTATGGCTGGTCGACAATGTCGGGGATGCCTTCAGCAACACCATTGCACTCTGCTATTGCCCACAACGCGAGTGACGACGTCATCCTTCTTCTCATTGACTGCGGTTCTGTTTGGGATCTCCCCCTTGTCTATTTTCACGGCGTCACTGCACTTCCTATAATGGCTGCTAACGGCCGCACTGGCCTCCTTAACATGATAGCTACCCGAGGCCTTACCAGACGAGACTGGCCAGACCACTTGGGTTATCGAGCACTACACCATGCTGTATGCTGCTCTGCAGTTAACTCTGATGTCAAATCAGCCTTGAATCTTTTTAAGGCACTCAACCGCGTTGGTGCGAGACTGCATGACTCCCGCCCAAGCTCGCAGCATCACTACGCCCCAGCGCGCAGGTTGGTTGCCAGCTTTCGGCAAGTGACGTATTCAACAGGTGCAACAAAGCCTATTTCGTCACTCTATCTCGCGTCTTATGGAGCATGGATGGAAACAAATTGGAAATCACGGAGCGGAGCATTGTTGGACATTGACGATGAAGAGTCTTTGACGGGCTGCCGCCAGCTCCACCGCTTCCGGAACACGCAATCACACGAGAAGACAAGGCTCTGGCCTGCGTATTATGACAAGTGTTGCTACAAGAACCAATATCGCAATCAACCTAGAAGTCGAAAAGAAAAGACAAGATGATGGAATTTCAAAGGTGCCAGCGGATTTACTGTTTACGGCCAGGCAGAAACCATCTCGACACGACCTTTGGCGGTGTTGGCCGGCCACAGCAGACTCGACTAGACCTGACTTGAGCTGGAGATCACTTCTATGCGAGATGGCTCCAACCGAGAGAAACAGTGCATGGCGTGCGGGGTGGCTGTGCGGGCGTACTCGGGAGCAGCGAAATGAAACACGATGATATCTGGTTCAGCTGCTGCTCTATTGCAGCGCGTGGTCGGCCTTTGGCATGTCGTCATGTACCTAACCACTGAGGAAGGTACCCACGGGTACCTATAGGACAAGTTTAGTGGATTCCGAGGGGTCCTCCCCAGTGAGGGCATAAGTAGCTGTTCCTCCTATCTTCCTCCCTATGTGTCTGTCTGTGATCTGTCAATTGTCTGCCTATTCCCTGTCTGCTTTCTGTCCTTCAGCTGTCCTCTGTCTGTCCTTCGTCTTTCGTGTCTTTGTGCTAGTTAGTCTCTTCAACCACGTCCTTTTGTTCAATTTTCTTGTCCTAGTGCTTCTCCTGGCGCTGTCACTGTCGCTATGGATTATGCTGTAAGTCCTAATAGCTAATGCCCTAGCATGGAGTACTAATAGACACGTGTAGTATTTCCCCCGTCTCTATGAGCAGAATGTTGGGTTGGTTACAGCCCCGTCCCAGGAACGAACGTCAGCCTTCTTCAATACCCACATGCAACCCGCCCTCGCATCGGCTGGTGCTATTAGACACACGAGGAACCTGGCGCACGAGTTGCAGCAACATGGCCAGCTTCTCTGGGACGAGCTACAACAGCAAGTACTCCTACCTGCGCCTAATACACCACATTATGACAACCTCATATACTCGAGGGAGAACTGGCCGCAGGGAGATTGGGTTCCCCGTGACCGAAGGGGAGACAACTGGGCCAACAAGACTGATAACGTTAGCAACATGGCCGAGTTCACTAAGGCTTGGGTCGCCGCGAGATCGTTGCCGGAGTTCACCTGGACTTTGGAACAGATGTAGGCCCAGAGTGGCATCCTCTATGACGGTCATGTGGCCGCACATCACCTCCCATGGCACGCGCAACGCCCTCCAAGACCTCAAGCGGCAGATCAGGGAGAGCGGCACAAGACGCCAACAATGTCACCCCCGAGGACCAAGGTGACGAGCTAGAGCGTGGCAACAGAGATCCTGCTGACGTGAGGGCTGATCCCTTTGACAACAACTTTGGGTTTGGAAACATTGGCGAGGAATTCGGATGTGACGATGCCGGCCTTGATCTCGGAGGCGATCGTTGTGGCCTTGACAAAGACAGCCTCAGCCCGAATCCAACGACTTGGTGTTCCCTGAGGAGAGAACTGTCGTAGAGAACCCCAAGTTGCCAGAGCTCACTCCTGGCGCCGCCGCCCGCAACAACCACGCCTCATCAGAACTAAACGCGCCCCCGCCAACCTCGCAGATCCATCACCCAACCAGCCTCATGTCCTCAAGCTTCAATTCAGGACTACGCCACCCCCGCCCCCAACGCCAAGCCCTGCGACACCCGGCAACGCGCCAGCGGGAGATCACCTCCCTCCAGAGACACATCCAGAGACACATCCAGAGGTCCCTCCGTTTATTTCAAGCGTCTGCTAGGCACCTGTCTCGGGAGGAGATCAAAGAGCTAGCCCACATCGTGCTGGAATAGGTGCAGGCCCAGCTTGGCGAGAAAGACAAGGAAGACAACAATAAAGACAAGTAATGTTTTCTTGTTTAGACTGATGTGTTTTTTGTTTCGTGTTTAATGTGATTAATGTGTTCTTTTATGCTATTACCCCTATAAGGGTTCATTAAGTCTGCACTTACTGTTTCGACTCGAGTTGTAGTCACATGGCAGCAAAGTAAAGAATTTGAAAAGGACCTTGGCTAGCAGTGAGCCTAGGGATCATGGATGATATGTTGCTGGTCCGGTGGTGGTTAGGACTGTGAAGAACTGACGTCCAACAACCAGATATAAAAGCCCTCAGAATGGATTTCAAAACCAGTCTATTTCTCATATTCTCAAGCGGAAAAACCGGTCAACCCTCGTTTCTCAATTCCCCTCGTTCAGGGATGAACAGATCAATACCCTCAATTCTAACAGGCAATTGACTCATCACTGGGAGACTGAACACGGTTTGTAAGTAGGTGTAATTAAATATGCAGCTTGCCGAATCACAGCAAATTAGGGGTAAGCAAGCAAACGGGCACAACAAACAAACAAGAAGGAATAAAAGGATTGAGAATATTTCATCTTCACCACCATCAGCTTGACAAGCTCACTCATGCTAAACACGTGTTCGAACGATCCCATGCCAGACGGCATGGCTCGGCTCCAGCTAAAGAGGCGCCTCCGTGCCTCTCGTCCCGCCACAACAACAAAGACAACAGCAACAGCAACGACCAAAGCAATAAGACTACCACGCTCTCCCTATACCCGGGCCAAAACCATCACAACTGTCCTCCAAAGCCTCCGGCGGCCGGACGGAGAGGGCCCGTACGTCCATGGCAAACAAATCTCCTTTTTCAACGGCCGGAACAAGGACGACTGGAATAGGATGCTGCCGGATCCCAACCACCGCGACAATATCAGCGCGTTCCTGAAGGCGCCAAAGGCGGGAAAGCAGAGCTGGGTGGGCTTCTTCAGCTGTCCGCAGCGCAGCTGGGTTGGCTCTGGTAACGCCTATAAGTCGGCCGACTGGCATTGCTTTGCGGCCATGGTTGTCGCGGACGGGCGGGAGTGTGGCAAGCACCTGCTGTTATATGATAACGACGCCAAGGCCGGTGTTGAGACGGCCAGCGGCCGTATCACGGATGTCCTCTGGGGCCTACAAAAGAGCCTCTGGGAGGCTGCGTGTAAGTCGGGCCGCTACACGCTGTGGTACTCGACAGATCAGAGCCATGCTGGGACTGATATGTGTCTACGGCACGCACTCGAGAAAGTGCAGGAGTGGGCCGCGTTACAGGATCAGACGCTCGACAGCGAGAGCGACACCCGTCTGTCGGGCTTTGTGAAGCTTTTCAAGAAGTAACGGGCGGTGGAATATGCATGTAGATCCGATTCCACGCTGGGGGGCGTACGACTCACGAGCGGGAAGGGTAAAAAAACGCATTGCTGGTTCAGGGCTGGCTTGGACAAACAACCAGTGCGCTAAGAATGTAGACTAGATATGCATCGGACGGATTAAATTCATTACAGTGTGTCTGTCTCGGGGTCTGTTATCTCTAGATCTAATAGTTTTTGGAGAATGATGGTAAAGAAGATGTGTAGAATGAATGTAGAGCGCGTTTCAACCAAGGATTTGGGGAGATCAATCTTAGATACTAGGTGCAAGCGTATGGCCAAATCTCACGCGAAACTAATGATGCTAATAACAGGGCACTAATCCCACATTATATCACATATAGTATAGGTTTTTTTCTACAAGAGATATACCAACGGTCACTAGTGGGATATATCTATATCAGTTGGGAACGACGTGGCATGTCCCCCCTCCCTAACCTTGCGTGGCCAAGGATGTCCCGATTTCGGCGATGCCCCCCGATATCTCCCATCTTAATCTTATGGCGCATGCCTGATGATGTCCAGATATGCTCATGACCTTCCTACTCGCTCGCTGTATGTGGGTGAAGCAATGACTTGCAGCCCAACCCAACCCAAGTATGCGCACACCGTTGCGCGTCTGGGTCAAAGCCGGGATCGGGGTGCGGCAGAGAGACGAGTAACCCCTCACAGTGCGAATCAATAAATCCGTGTTCGGCTCTGCTTAAATTTTTTACTCACAGCAGAAAATATTAAACAATGGCAGCGCTACTGGATGGATTCATTAAAATTTTCCCCCAATCGTTTCTACCTTCAGTATGGGCCGTTATGTCTGTAGGACCGGGGCCGGGGCCGGGGCCGGGGCCGGATGCCCGGACGTAGCGGGCCCCGCCCCCTCCCCAGCTTGCTTGCCTGCCTGTACAAATCTTTTGTGACTTTGACATTAAGGCCCCTAAAGGACGTAGAGTAGGCGTCAGAGGATCTTTTACCTTGTTATGAACGACGGAGACGATCCAACAAGCATAGAATAATATCATAATAGTTCTCGGTACGATGACGAATTGACCAACGGCACAATGATGCAAAGAAAAGACAGAGCGGACGCAACACCAAGCAAGTGGCGTCGTCTGGATACGTGATGCTCGAGCTGACAGCAGATCTATGTCTCTATTAAACCACATGAGGGACACCGTTTTTCCAAACCCAAAAGTCTCACAGTTTCCCATGCCAGTACCTCTCCGTCTCCAAAACGGCCCACTTCCATTCCATTTGCGTCTGGCGCAGCTTGGCGCATCCCCAAGACAAGAGCGAAGGCCATTCTTTGGCGCGAGGGAGATACCAGAATGTCCTTATTAACCGGCCGTCGTCGCCTGCTGTCTCGCTGACCCATGGTAGTCCACGCCACCACTCGCTGTTGTCATCCCCGCACGCCACAGGCACTGGGGCACTGCAAAGAGCTCTGGTGCGGTTGCCCAGTCCTTCAAAGGCCTCAACTAAACCCTGTAGCCTTTCCCTTGTTGCACTAACGGCCCATGTTGCTGACACGGCGGTCCGCAGCAACGGGGCTACCTCGTCGTACGCTGGGGCAATCAGGGAAAGGGCCTGGTCCGTTCTGCTACGCGGCGGTGATGCGGCGAACCAGCCACGAGGAGCGTCTGTTCGGATGTGGCGCGACCGAGTAATGACGTCGCCTTTGCTTAGGATATCTACTAGGAGACTCCCACTGGTGATAACAGCCAGTAGAGCGTCAGATAACTCGACTAGCTGCTCAGCAGCTTCATATATGGACATCACTATGGGAGACGATGAGAAGAGGTGTGTATAAATCTGACGAATAAACGTGTTTGACGTATAGTTGTAGAAACACGTTGTTGGGGTTGTAGCAGGGTCCACGTTTATGTCAAGTGGTAGCAGTACTGCTTTAACGGCCTCTTGGAAATAGAAGCTGACGAGTTCAAAGCTTGAGAGCCACGAGAGAGCCAGTGTTGTCGAGGCCTCGCTCCACAGAGGAGAGAGATCAGCGACTGCACGTCGGAGCCCAAGGCAAAGAAGAGCCAAGTCCTCCTTTCCTGGGGGTGCTGGGCGAGACAAGGCCATCCAGTCCTGAACAGTATCACAGAGCTGGTTGATTGAGTAAAAGACATGGCCTAGAAAGACTCTAGCCGTGATGTTACTATCCGGGGATGGAGTGGCTCTGGTAGGAGGCCGAGGGGTGTTGCCATCTATGAGATAGTGGCGGTCGACAAGGTCTTGCACGCCAACGAAGAAGGGTAGCGGAGTCTCGACATAGAGGTGCAAGATCTGAGTTATGTCGTCAACCAGAGTGAGGGCAGCGTGTTGGACGTGAACGCGCTGGTTGGATTGCGGAGACCGTTCTAGAGGTCGAGACAAGTAGGATGAGATGCGCAAGTGGGAGGCCAAGACAGCGCCGACAATGACCAGCAGGAGAAGAAGGGCAAGTAAGCCGACGACGACGAGGCAACGGCTCCTTGACGATGACCAGATCAGGGCTGGGCATTGGCGCCAGGACCAGAGGACATGTGGAGAGCTATCCGGGGGTCTGAAGAGGTCAATGGCTGATTCTATGACGAAGATTTCGTGATCCGGATTTTCAGTGGGATCAAACAGAGCATGCCCGAAGTCCAGGTGGTGGCTGTCTCTTAATTTGATGCTCAAGGGTGATATGTCCTCCAGCATATATGTGTCTTGAAAGGTGATGCTGATGCCTTGCTGGCTGAAGCACTGGGTAGACGCATGCGGGGATGGAGCACCCGACCAGGGCCGACGGAATCGGACAGTAAAGCACAGGGTCTTTTGTCGTGCCTCATCCTGGTCCTTGCCATCTTGATCAATCTCATATTGATCGAGTATGTGTGGCGAGTCCGCAGTCTCGGGTGTGCTGTTGCGGTCTTGACCAACAGGGTCCATCTCTCGACGAAGCGACAATGCCGACGATGACCAAAATCCTGAGCTATATCGATAAAAGCGAAGGTAGGAAGAAAAGAAAAAGGTCAGAAAGCCTCCGAGACACAGCAAAAAGAGCGGCAGAATGAATCTTGGATGTCGGCTCAGAAGAAGCGGCGGGAGGGGGAGACGAGGGACAATAGAAGAAGGGGAAACAAACAGATTCATGGTTGACGGGAGGGCAGGACGAACGAAGTCTTCCATTTTATTTTATTTTTTGTTGTCATGTTCTATTCCTTGTTTTGTTTTGTTTTGCCGTGCGCGCTCTCTCTCTCTCTCTCGTGTGTTTGTCTGGTCGTAGCATTGACCACAACTGGATCCGTGTCTTTCGAGGCAAGGGAGACGATCACGAGCCGCAGATAGGCACGCACGTGTTTATGCATCCAATTCTTTGTGGAGGCGTGATGTGACACGAAATAGAGAGGGATAGACAGAGATAGAGAGGGAGAGAGAGAGAGAGAGAGAGAGAGAGGCTCACGTCAGACGGGCTACCCGGTTTGACGAGCCATTCTCCTTTCTGCATCTCTCTCCCAAGCGGTAGCCGCCTCTTCTTCATCCTGCTCTGCCTTGTCAAGCTGCTTCTTGGCCTTGTCCCACGCCTCGTACGCAGATCTGTGGATGGCTGCCGCTGTCGCCCATTCGCTGTGCGCCTCGTCGACTTGCGCCTTTGTCACGTTGCCACTCTGCGCCTGTGCCATGGTGAAGTAGGCGCTTCTGGTCGAGTCTGCCTTGGCCTCGGCCGCCAAGACGTTTTTGAGCGTCGCCTCCACGACGCGGTGCTTCTTCGACGCATTCCTCCATGCGTGCAGCCACCCCATATACAGCGCGGGGATGCGGTTGTAACGGTCTCGGTACTTGTGGTATTCGACCCTTATAGCGTCTTTGAGTTTTTCGTCGTCGTCGTCGTCGTCGTCGTCTTGTGGGGTGCTCGTGTGGTTTACCGCGGCTTTGACAAAATCACGCGGCTGAGGCGCGGCCGAAGGCTTGACAAGTTGTCCTTGATGCTGAGCTGAACAGTCCCCTCCTCCTCCTCCTCTTGTTGCTGATGACGCTCGGTCACCAGCAGTCTTCGTCGTCTCGGGCTGCTCCCCAGCTGCATCTTGTTCCTTGTTGGCGTCGCCGCCATCGTCCGCCGCCGCCGCCGCCGCCGCCTCCTTCTCAGCCTGCCACCTCTTGACATGCGTCAGCTGGGACGTCAATGAAGCCAACTTGTCCCAGTTCTGCTCAAAGACGCTCTCTTCTGAGCCCTCAGGTACGTCCCGCCACTCCCCGCCGTCAAGGAGCAAGTCAATGTCGCGGAGCACTTCGTCGGTGAAGCGCTCCAGAAGGTCGGGTCTCGCGGGTTGGACCGTCTGGAGGTGGTGGTGGAAGCGGCGGAGTTGGCGGGCTCGCATGACGCGGTCGACACGCCCGACGCTCCGGCTGCGCTGTTTCGCCATGGCCTGTTTCTTTCTCGTCAGCAGAGCTCAAGATAGGGCAAGGCGAGGGTTGGGGGAATGAATGGATCGGTTGCCCGTACCGGGTAGTAGGTGACGGCGCCGAGATTCTTCTTGATGATGGCCAGGTTTGTATGTTACGTCGTAGACGTGTTGTTGTTGTTGTTGTTGTTGTTGTTGTCGTTGTCGTTGTCGTTGTCGTTGTTGTTTTTTCCCAAGTTTCTTGTTAAGGCGGCGCTGACAAAGATGACGGAACACACGAGGGGAGCATATGTGCGTCCGTTAACCTACTTTCTGGTCGACTTTCTTCTCCTCATATTGTGTGCAAAGTTACGGGTGGGACGGACGGACCGTGCTTGATTTTATCATATTTAGTGGTTTTCTTTTATTCATTTTCTATCTTATTTGATCACTTTTCACAAGTCTCTCCCCAATTGTCTACTCTCTACAAGTATGTGTACATAAAATATGACACCGGCCAGCCCAGTGACGGCCAGTCGTGATGAAAACAGCGTTCAAAGAGCCCGCAGCCGGGCAGACCGGAGCTCTCCAACGCTGCAAGGTGGAACAAGGACAGAACTCAGGTCAGGGGCCGCGGCCGGGCAGACTGGACCCCTGATTCTGTAATGCTGCCCTCTGCCAAGTATGTCTGATGGCAGATACATACAGCCCAAGACTGCAGGACAGACAGACTCGGGCAAACTGGACCCCTGATTTTGTCATCTTGGAGCTGTTGGCAGTGGAGAGAGAGAATGCAATGCTGCCCTCTGCCAAGTGTGTCTGATGGCAGCTACATACAGCCCAAGACTGCAGGACAGACAGACTCAGGGGTCGCGGCCGGGCAAACTGGACCCCTGAATCTGTCACCACCACCACCACCAGTGTTTGTTTGCCTCGGACGGGGATGCGGAAATGACAGATGGAGCAAAGGGCGGGCAACCCCCCCAACCTGTCGGGGGTTCCGTGTTTCGCGCCTCGCGTCACATAGCTTCGCATCGCATCGACCCGCTCGCTCATTGAGGAACGAGATGAGGAACCGAACCTGATCAGGGTATTTGTTCCTCCCACCATCGGTGGGCGGCGCATCACCCGCTCGCGTCGTGGAACCAAGGTTGGTCGGGCACTCTCGTCCGCACCCGCACATTTCAAAGAAAACAGACAGATAGCATGTCAAGTTGGCAGATGCCACAAGACGCGGTGCCCGGTCCGCGCCTCAAGGCTTCTTGAACTGACAGCTGTCCGTGCTGTGTAATTTGAAAGTGCAGGTGACGGGTGGAGATGGGCAACCAAGTTGGCCAGAGCTGAGGGTGTGATGGTCGCAAGGGATGGGATGGTGGTTGGTGGTTGGTGGTTGGTGATGGTGGTGGTGGAGGCAAGGTGGCAAGGTGGCTTTGTTTTTGGTTTGTGTGTGTGTGTGTGTGTGTGTGTGTGTGGTGGAATTGTTTATTTGTTTGTTTAAAGCCATCGCCCTCTTGCCTCGAAGTGGTGTGGTGGAGGTTGTTGTGCCGTGTGGCGCTGTGGCACGTGCCGGCAAGTGGAGTAGGTTTGTATGTGGAGTGGAGTGCCGACTTGGCAGTGGCTGACGCCTCGCCTTGTGGTTGTGGGGCTCATTTGAGCCGAGATGAGATGAGACGGGACGAGGCGAGATGAGGCGCGATGAGAGATGAGATAAGATGAGATGAGATAAGATAATCCCAAGCATAGATCCCACTCAGGCAGTAGCAGACCAACGCAGAAGATGGATGGCTGTTAAACCTGTCTCAATAAGGATTAAGAAATTAGAACTTAAGAAAGCTTAAGGATGGCTTTTTGTTGTTGTTTTTGTCTTTTGTGAAAAGTTAGGGACATATATTAAAGCTAAAAAAAAAAAAAGCCCTTTATTAGTAGTTAGACCTGTATTCTATATACTTACACGGATAGGTGACTGTGATGGATGGCCTGGCTGGACTCTCCTCTTGCGACCTAACGTCTCTTTAGGTAAAGCTCTCAGATGCCAGGTTATTTTCTTATTAATACATGCATAGTCTCTTATGTGTTTAATGTCTTAGGGATGTGCTGAAGAATAAATAAAGTTAAGCAAGACAAGACAGACACCTGTTAAGACAGACGCTGGTGGTTGGCGATGGCTGATCTAGTGGGGCCCGGTTAGGGTACCTATTGCAGCAGGGGTACGTAGCCACTGACTCCGCCTGGCAGCAGTAGGTACCTATCTGTACCAAGGTATAGCACCCCACTGTGTGTAGGTATGTTGCTTTTTACCCTTTGGTGGTCTCCACCTCTGGCAGAGGGGTCCCAGGATGGCAGAATGTACCTGTAGGTAGTGCAGAAAGCTGGCAATAACTATGCATGGGTTATCCCTAGGTATTCCGTCCCGTCTGTCTCAGCCACTGATCCGGAGGTGTCCCCCGGTCTGGCGGTTTGGACTTGTAGCTTTCTGGATCAGTGGCTGACGCCCCACCAGTAGAGACCACCAACGGTCAGAAGTACCCACGCTGTACTCCGTAGGCTACAGCCTATTGCGGCATTACCTACAAGTACATGAACCTCTAGGTAGTTTGGTGGCAGAGTTAGTGGCTGCGTACCCCTGGCTTGTCCCTGGCTGGCAACCGGCAATAGGCGACTGGCAGCGAGCGCATCCGGTACGGATACTAACCCCCGGTAAGCAACTGGCGACAAGGGGATGTTCGTGTGCTGCGCAACCTCAGCCAGCCCAGCCAGACAGCCAACCTAGTCAGTCAAGAGTCAGTGTCTGTTCAATTCCTTTCTCTTTTCACCAAGCACAACTAAAATGACTGACTTGGATATAATTCGAGGCCGGTCCCGCCTCATCCTCGTGCCCTTTCGCCCACATCTCGCATCGCATCGCTTCAAACCTCATCCATACCCCAAATCATCCACCATATCACCAACCACCACCATCATCATCATCATCATCATCATCATCATCATCATCATCATCATCACGCAGTCACTTCAAAGCCATGGATCACCCTGCGCTTACCCGCCGTTAACCTTACGCCAGTTAGTCCTCAACAGACATCACCAACTACAGCGACAACTACCGCAGAACCTTGGCCCTCAATGAAGCAGCCCGAGACAAGCCAGCTTGCTATGACTACATCACTGCCCTGCGTCAGCTGCCAGCCGAAGTCCTTCTGCAAGAGGAGTTCCAGCTCATCGCCGCTAACCGCACAAACGCCCTCGCCCTTGTCAACCCCGCCGGGCTCACCACTTCCACTCCCACTCCCACTCCCACTCCTCACCACCACCAGTCCCCGGCTCCCAGCAACGCCAGCATCTCCCTCACCGACATGGCTCTCGAGGACGGCGACCGTCAGCTCTGCTCCAATCTCCAAAAGCTTATACACACCTACAAAGCCCATTCTCAGGCCCCTAATCCTACTCTGCCACACAAGACTCGCCGCGGCATTCGAGCCCAGGGCAAACAGCCCCGCAAGCCTAACACCGTCCAGGATGTCGCCTTTCCATCGACTTCGCCATCGCCGCCACCCAGGGAAACGGCCCCGACCTATCCCATACCACAACAAGCTCCCCACCCGTCGTCGTCGTCGTCGTCGTCGTCGTCATCGTCATCCCACATGATTCTAGGACTGCAGCCTTCCTAGCAAACACACACCTCCTCCTCCTCCCTCCCTCCTCCCCCTCTGCCCGGCACCAACGCCCCCGTCAACAACTCTGTCTCTCTGCTATCTATGGACGATCTACGCAGCCAGTACGATAAGGCCAAAGCCAAATACAAACAATGCAGAGACAAGATGCTACAGATAGACTCTCTTATGCGCCGCCTAAACCAAGACATATTCGACCGCGCTGCCATCAATAGGAAGTCTCTCTAGTCAGCAAAGAGAGGGACCCCGCACTGAGGGAACGGCCATGACCAGTACCCAGTTGAGTGCAGTCTGTCTGCATGGCTGCAGCCCGCATGGTGCACGCATCCGGCCCGGGCTCGTTCTGCAGCTGCATGTTGCTTTTGTACCTGCGCTCACCGCCGTCGCCGCCGCCGCTGCCGCGCCCGCATAAACCGGTGCCACGTATCATAAACATGTTCATGCCAGGTGCCGTGCCATACACCATGAACATGTTCATGCCAGGTGCCCTGCTAGGCATCATAAACATGTTTATGTTAGGTGCCGTGCCAGGCATCATGTTTATGCCGTATGCCGCAGTTTAATGACGTTAGCCATCTATCTGCCTAGCGAAATAAAGCGGTCTAGAGGTTTGCTAAGATGTATCACGTAAAATAGGATTATTTATAAAGTAGGTCATTAATATCCCAGGAGAGCAAGCCACTTTCTCTCCTCTCTAACTATTCCTTACAATCTATTAGTTCCCCTTCTGTCCTTTATAGTGTAATTAATTAGGCTTTAGCCTAGGCTACATGCTGCCTTTACCTTTACTATCTTAATAATATTATTAAGTCCCTTACTATGTCTATATATAACTTTTATAAGCGTCTAACTATAATAGTAAGTAACTACCTTAGTTCTTAGCTATACTTCTAAGTTAAATCTTTACTAACTAATAAGGTAATAGTAACAGACGTTCTATAATATTTAGATTAGTATAAAGATATAAATCTATTTCTTAGGCTATAAAACCCTTATCTTTTATTCCTATATTATCTACTAATAGCTTATAATCCTTTCTAATAACCTACACCTACTTAATCTTTACTAGAGGCTAGGTATTACTAGCTTAGGCTAGCTTTATATTAACATTATATACCCTTATATAACAAACGCCCTTAAGGCGCATATTAGGTAGCTAGCTAGTAAGGAAGACTATTATCCTACCCTTACTAGTATTATAAATAGTAATAGGATTAGATTATAAGTTATTTCTTATAAGCACTACTACTTAGTCTATTTATCCTAACTAATATCTAATTCTATTACTCTAGCTACCCTAAGTAAATAAATAAGTAGGCTAAACTAAGATAGGACAGTAATCTTATTAAGCTAGTTAATAAGGCGCTATAGAACCTAACTCTAGAAGAGCTTCTAGTATTAGTATTACTGCTGCTACCTTTACTGCCTAACCTAGACCTAAACCCTAATTACTAACACCTAGTACCCTAGACTCCTGTTTACTAGCAGGTTTAATAATACCCTCTTATGCTGCAGCAGTAGTAATAATAATAACAACCTTTACTGTCCTAGCTTTCTAGTCCGCCTCCTTAGCTTCTATACCCTACTGTCCAGGAGCTACTAGGCAAGCGTTATAAGTCTCTGTCTAGAAACCCTTACTTAGTAGGCCGGCTCTAAGATTTAGGTGGTGCTATATAAGTATAGTTAATGCTTAAAGCCTTACCTTGGTCTGTTCTAGGATCCTTCCCCTTATCTCTATACCCCTGGTCACTACAACGGACTCCTTCTCCTTCTCCTCCTCCTTCTCCTCCCCCTGCTATTTGTTTGCACCGCCGTCCCCCCTCCGCCTTCGCCTCCTTATTACTCCTAATCCAGCCGGCTGATAGTCTAGCGCGTGTAACAGTTCTTATGTTAGCAGTATTTAGGAACACCTATTGTCCTTACAACACATTAGACAAAGGTCTTAAAGAGATGTACGCATGTCAGCAGGAGAGACTTTACACCTAGATTAAATACCGTCATGTTCTAGCATAAACAGCCTATAAGCTAGCATCTAGGGAAGACATAGTTAGTATATAGGCCTAGGCATATAACAGCATAAATAACATTATATTAAGACAGTATCTATTAGATTGCTAGTCTGCCAGAATTAAGTCTTTTCTTACAGCTAGACACGTAGTTCTAGAAAGGCCTTTTAAAAGTGCTATTACTTACTTTATTACTATTAGCCCTTAATACTAACCTAATATATAATAGCTAACTTTAATACTTATCCTTATATCTATATATATACGTATATATATATAGAATCTTTCTTATTAACCTTACTCTTATTTTTCCTACCTTCTTCCCTAGCCTTATTGTCGCCCTACTAGCTTATCTAACTTACCCTTGTCTACCTCCTATCTCTCCAGTATTATAACAAACTTATGTAACCAGCCTAACGCCTACACTGCTACGGCTATATTGTTAATTTCACTATCCTTAGCAGACTGTAGAGTCTGTAACATGCCTTCCCTTATAACCCTTATCTCCTTAAGGTCGTTTCTTAGACTATTCTAAACAAGCTTAGTCTCTAGCGTAATATTATTAGCTACGTTATAAGCTATCTATAGCCCTTATTATTAGTTCTTAATTAGTACTAGTCTGCGCTACTATAACTTTATTACTTACTGTTCTTCTTTTTCTACCTTTCTATCTAAAAGCCCTTATTATGTCTATATATATAAAATATCTAAGCCCCTTAAGTGCTAGTAAACCTTATAAGCCTTAGTGTAGGTTTAGTCTAGCAGGCTGCTGTTATTCTTAGCTATTCTCTGCCCCTAGAGACTAATTATTATCTTAATTATCTTAACTGCTTATCTATTCCTTACTAAGAGTTAGTTATAAATAGTGTATCTTATAGGTTTATAGAACTATAGTATAAGATAAGGCAGTAGTAGTAGCTATAATTCTAAGGCTTAGATGTCTGTCTTTAAATCTTAGAACTACGTTATAAGCCCTTAAGCTACTACTTTCTACCCCTGCACGCCCTTAGTCTACTTTTTATTAGTAACTCTCTACCTCTTATAGAGCGTCTTGGTTATAGATCCCAGCTTAGCCGTCAGGGACGTGCCGTATACATTGTACCTAGGCATAACCTTACTAAGTGCCTAAGAGGTGTAATTAGACAATTCTACTACAGTAATAATCTTAGGGAGGTATTTTACTAATAGCTTAATCTTTAGCGCCGCCCTTAGTGTAATAAGAAAGGCTCCTAGGTTAGCGCTGGCGCAGGATTACTCCCCTACAAAGCCGAGGCTTACAAGCAGTAATGCCCCCTAAGATACTACTAAGCTGCCTACGCCGACAACGGCAGCGCCTGTATTAAACACAGCTGCGTGGACACCAGAGACAAGCCAGAATACAAGTCCTATAAATACTAAGAGTAAGACAAACCACCAGAAGACGGTTAACCTTAGCACGTCGTGAATCGGCAATCCGTCCGCATTAGCAGCAGCCCTAGTGGATCAGGATTAACTTCTACTGCCGCCGCTACCACCACTGGTGCTGCTACTACTATAGTGGTTATGCACCTCCGAATTTAATACTATAAACGACTTAATGTTCGTAAGGCCGTTGACTACAAGAGCTTCCGACGTTAAGGTATTAGTGGCGGTGTTAGTGGCAACAGAGCCTAAGCTAATTAGGATAACAGCCGTCTTATTGTTAAAACGTACAGTACGTACTCGTTTCTACTGGTGCCAAGTGGCCTGTGTTCTTTTTACTAACCGCTAGCTATCTAGAAGAATAATATAGCCTAGATCTCTCTGCCTGTCTATATTATAAGCCTCCTCTTAAGGATTACTAGCTTAAACGATTTAGGTTTTGTTAAGCAACTCATTGCGGAGCTCAAGTTCTAGTTATTTCTGTCTCTCGCGCTCATTACGGCAGCTGCTATTTCTAGAGCTTATGGCTATTTTTAACTTTATAGGTTGCTGTTTTAGTCTCTTGCTAGCCGGTGTTATCTAATGTTGCTATTCTAGTTAGAACTTTAGTATCTAGAGAGATAGAGGAGGATTAGACTTAGGCCTAGATAGGATTTATTACCTAAGACAGGAAGGTTCTGACCTTACAGTCTATAAAGTCTGTTACTATTTAACTTGCTTCTATAGTTCTATTATAGGGTCTATTTCTAACTATATAATGTTTCTTTATATGTTAATTATTACAGGCTTGGACTAGAATATTTACCTAAGCTAGTTAGCCCCTGGCTGGGATAACAAGATAGCTAGAATAAGTAGATATTAAGGCCTGTAGTACTGTTAAAGAATAAGGTTAAGTATAAGGTTAAGAGGGATTATAAGAATAGAGGGGAACCTAATAGGGGTAGTTATGTGTTTTCTTTTGTTTTATAACTTTAAGTGTAATATTAGGCACTTAGGGCTTCTTTTTAAACTGTTTTTTTAGTAGTTTTAAATTATTAGTCTCTTGTCTTATAGTGTGTTATCTTATAGTTTCTTATCTAATTAGGTAGTGTTAAGATATAAAACTATATCCCTACCTATCTATCTTAAATATATCTTCTAATAGGGAATATCTACCTCTCTTTAAACGCTTTTTACTATTATTTCTTTATTTCTAATACTAACTATTTGTCTTATAACCCTTGTTCTAATAGTTTAGATATCTTATAAGGTTAAAAGAAGCCTTTTAAGTCTTCTTTTCTATTATATTCCTCTTTTCTATTAGTCACTTATTTCTTATTATGTAAAACTCTAAGCTTAGCTGTTTACCTCTTCTATAAAGAAAGCCTTAAAGACATAGCTTTACTTACTAAACTCTCCCTTATCTGTTCCTTATAATAACCGCTTTTTACCCCTAAAATCCGTCCTATAGAAGAATATCCTTTAACTTTATTTTTAACCTTATTAATATCTTTCCTTTAATACTCCTTAGCAAATCACCACGCTACTATAAGCTCTAATATTTCCCCTAAGGTATACAAATTATAGGATTTAATCTAGATACTATTATAATAAGCCTAGATACCTATACAATAAGCTTAGATACTAATATAATACGCCTAAATACTGTCCTTATACCTACTAAGGTCTACTACTAAGGCCTATAAATACCCCTAAGGTGCCGTCTAAGAAGCTATCTAGAAGTAAGAGGCTATCCCTAAGGAATACCTTAATCCTTACCCTCTTTGCCCTTCTCTTAGCATGCTACGTTTTCAGTGGCTAGCACTCCCCTTTAGCTAACTAAGTCGGACAGGCACCTAAACACACGCCTGTTATTCTGTCCCAGGCAACCAACAAGCTAAGGGCACATATTACCCCTCTTTAACAGGTCTGCTAAGTCGTTTGCCGTCTTTATGCCGCCTAACCCTCCTCACCTCCTAAGCTTTTTAATTTCCTCTACCTTAACCTATCTAAGCCGCCGTTCTATCTGCTAGACATAATAGCGTACTAAGGACGCCCTTTATATTAGCTATACTGTAATAAGATTATACAGGCCTAGGCCTTATGTCTTATAGAGAATAGAATAGGGAGTTAAGTAAGGAATAAGGAGATT